GTCCATACTTGCCCCAACTGTACAGGGTTCGACCTCTGCGGTCGTATCAAGCTGCACCCTGCGGAGCATTTTATTTCCGTGTTACGGACGAAATTTTCGGCCTTTAATAATGCTTACCCCAGAAATTCTATATCTTCAGGTTGTAGTACTATCCAATAGCTATTCATTAGGACAGCGTCTATAACTTCCTAGCCATACAGAACTGCCGAGGCAATGGGTTGGAAAGTGGGTGACTCCAATGAGTATTTATTAAATTTGACTTTTTTTCCGTGTTACGGACGAAATGTTCGGCCTTTCATAATGCTAACCTCAGAAATTGTATACCTTCTATACCCTCAGGTTGTAGTACTATCCAATAGCTATTCATTATGACAACGTCTATAATCTGTAGCCATAAAGAACTGCCGAGACAATGGGTCGGAAAGTGGGTGTCCCCAATGTGTATTTTATCGAATTTGGCTTTATTTCCATGTTTCGGACGAAATTCTCGGCCTTTGAGAATGCATATCCCAGAAATTCTTTACCATCAGGTTGTAGTACTATCCAATAGCTATTCATAAGAACATCGTCATTAATCCCTAGCCTTAAAGAACTACCGAGACAATGGGTCGAAGAGAAGGTGTCCCCAATGCGTATTTTATCGAATTATGCTTTATTTCCATGTTTCGGACGAAATTTTTGGCCTTTAAGAATGCTTACCCCAGAAATTCATTACCCTCCTGTAGTAGTACTATCCAATAGCTATTTATGAGAGCAGAGTCTATAATCCCTAGCCATACAGAACTGCCGAGGCAATTGGTTGGAAAGTGGGTGACCCCAATGAGTATTTTATCAAATTTGACTTATTTGCCGTGTTACGGACGAAATTTTCGGCCTTTAATAATGCTTACCCCAGAAATTCTATATCTTCAGGTTGTAGTACTATCCAATAGCTATTCATTATGAAAACGTCTATAATCTGTAGCCATAAAGAACTGCCGAGACAATGGGTCGGAAAGTGGGTGTCCCCAATGTATTTTATCGAATTTGGCTTTATTTCCATGTTTCGGACGAAATTCTCGGCCTTTAAGAATGCATATCCCAGAAAAACTTTACCATCAGGTTGTAGTACTATCCAATAGCTATTCATAAGAACATCTTCTATAATCCCTAGCCTTAAAGAACTACCGAGACAATGGGTCGAAAAGTAGGTGTCCCCAATGCGTATTTTATCGAATTTGGCTTTATTTCCATGTTTCGGACGAAATTTTTGGCCTTTAAGAATGCTTACCCCAGAAATTCTTTACCCTCCTGTAGTAGTACTATCCAATAGCTATTTATGAGAGCAGAGTCTATAATCCCTAGCCATACAGAACTGCCGAAGCAATTGGTTGGAAAGTGGGTGACCCCAATGAGTATTTTATCAAATTTGACGTTTTTTCCGTGTTACGGACGAAATTTTCGGCCTTTAATAATGCTTACCCCTGAAATTCTATATCTTCAGGTTGTAGTACTATCCAATAGCTATTCATTAGGACAGCGTCTATAATCTATAGCCATAAAGAACTACCGGGATAATGGGTCGGAAAGTGGGTGTCCGTAATGCGTATTTTATCAAATTTGGCTTTATTTCCATGTTTCGGACGAAATTTTCGGCTTTAAGAATGCTTACCCCAAAAATTCTCCCCCCTCCCGTTGTAGTACAGTCCAATAGCTATTTATGAGAGCGGAGGTTATAATCCCTAGCCAAACAGAACTGCCGAGGCAATGGGTCGGAAATATGAGTTATAAAGTTTCAAATAGAAGTTGTATTATCGGTATACCATGAAAAAAAATATTTTACATCAAAATTCTATTTTTTTAGTCGTTAATATGAGTTTTAAAAATTGCAAATGTGAGTTAAACAATTGTAAATACGAATCACACCCTGGACTTGACAGATAATACTTTGTTTGAATCGTAATCATGATTTTTTTATATTGTAAATGCTTATTACAAAACCGTAAATTTGGGTTAGAAATCTGCAAACTAAAGTTAGAATTTTGGTAATGGGATATAAAAATCTTTGATTTTCTATATAAATCTTGTTTTCGGACAAAAAAGTCAAAAACTATGATTTAAAAAAAAAAATTAAATTATGTAGTTTTCCAAACGATATTGCAGGATGACAAATTGCAGAATAGCTTTTTATAAAGAGAATTGCAGGATGAGAATTGCTGGATAGCTTGACACTAGTAAATATATCAGTATATATAATTATTTAATTCGAAATCACGAATTTAAATCGTGATCACGAATTAATTAATTTTTTATAACAGATTAAATTCGTGATAACGAATTTCCAGAATTATTTATTACAGTTTTTAGTCCCCTACCGACGAAGTCGAAGGGGACTTTATGTTTGCAATCGGTCCGTCTGTTTGTCTGTTTATCTCATTCCGGCAAATCAGTTTTTCACACTTTTTTTCTTCGTTCTCAAAGATATTGATTTGCTATTAGTTTATATTTTTATCATGACAAGTTACAGATCAAGTTCGAATTTTGTCCCGTTCTGATGATTTTGTCGAGAGTTATGGTCCATATGGACCTATAGTAAATTCACTAAAATATTCAGTTTTCAGCTCTTTTTTTCATCGCGCTTGAGGATATTGATTTGATAATTGGTATATAGTATTATCATGACAAGTTACAGATCAAGTTTGAATTTTTTCCGATCTGATGATTTAGTGCAGAGTTATGGTCCTTGAACTTGGAAAATTCCATCAAATAACCAGTTTCCACTCCTTTTTTCATCATCCTTGAAAATATTCACTTGATATTTATTCTATAGTTTACACCATGACGAGTTATAGATAAAGTTAACATTTTGTTAACAATGGTAAATAACTAATAACTTTTTTAAGTTATACCGTTGACCGATAAACCAAGATTTGTATACAAATCATTTAATTTTTTTTTTAGAATTTTGTTACATATGTTAAAAGAGTGGCAAAGGATACCAAAGGAGCAACATTCAAACTCTTAAAGTCAAACAAAAGTAGACAACGCCATGGCCAAAACAGAAAAAGACAAACTGACAAAAAATGTTGGTGATCTCAGGTGCTCCGGAAGGGTAATAGATCCTGCTCCACATGTGTACCTGTTGTGTTGATAATGTTAGTAAAACCCCAGTAATAAGTCTAATTCGTTAGGTCATATCGAGGATCATATTCGGGGAAAGGGGACAGGATTGAAGGTACGATAATTGGAACACATACGTTGTCATTGGAAAACTTGGAAAACTTGGTTTAATAGCTTCATTGTGAGCAGCAATCTTACATATAGATATACTTTTATTATTCATATAATCACTATTGAATGTGTAAATGTAATAAGCTTATTTTATAATGATATATATCATGTATATCATGGTTCAAGACTGTTCTGTATAAACATTATGAAATTGGGACAAACATCGTGTAGTGTGTTCCTAAGAACTATAGGTGTGTCGCATCTACTAGTGTTCAAGAAATAAAATAAACATGGTATAATGAAAGCACAAAATAGAAACAAGAAAGTGAACGACCATTTAACTTCAAAGGGGTGGGTGGGGGTGATTATGGTTTTTTCCTAATAAAATATTACGATCCCCAATTTGATAAAAAAAAATATTCTGGTCAATGCGGATGACAAAAAAAATTAGTCTGAAGGCAGATTTCCCTCACACCTTATAGTGCTTAATTTTGAAAAAATAATTTGATTGAAAGCGTTGAAAAACTAAATAAATTTGTTAGTGCTCAGCGTGAAAAAAAAATTCTGACTCAGAAAAAAACCCATTACCCTGTCATAACTGGCCATCACAAAGGTTCCCGTAATTTTTTTTTTATGTCACAATAGATAATGTCTGATGCCACAAAGGAAAGGTAATTGTGTGAGGGGAGTGGTTCTAAATACAATGTGTGGTGGTATAGTTAAAGGCACTTTTGAATAATACTCAAAGCAGTAAAACAAATAACAATTTTAAATTAAAGTAAAGAAAGTAAAGAAAGTAAATACATATCCAATTCATATATTTAACACATCAAAACAACTAATTACCTTTAGACAAAACTCCTACCTAAAATCGTATCCGAAACCTATTCGTAATGTACAACACAGTACACTTTTTTTTAATCTTTTTTTTTAATCTTTATTTATGATTATACTTTTTAGATAAGTTCCTTTAGCAAAAAGAAATAACATTGCAAAATTATCACAAATGTCAAATAAATAGAGGAACTCAAATGTGAGTCTTGCTCAATATATATTACGTAAATAAATAAAGCAAATAGACATGAAATATAATAAAGCAAATAAATTAACAGCCTGAAATGATTTAATACTGAAAAGTGCAATAATCCATACCTATTACATTTGTATGACGTCAATAGGCAATGAAATAGAATTTTCAGTTCCTGCTTCGTTACATTTGTAAACACTAGATACACAATCATTTTACACCTTTTCATGACGAGTGTTCTAGTGCTGTCATTGGTCAAAAATGATGATATCGAAATGGGCGTGGTATTTATCTACTGGTAGATGGCGCAACATTATAATCACAAATGTTGGCTTAATCTGCCAAGGGTGGAGAGGAGAGGAGTGGATCGTAACCCTTGACTAGCGAAGATGAGGTACTTCCGGACAGGATAATTTTTTTAAGACCACCCCCTTTTTTCCAAAGTTCGTTATTTTTTGGATTTCTTCAAAGAGTCTCTATTTGTATATATATATATATATATATCAGTGACCGCTGTGGATAGTTAACTTGGAATTGATAGTAAATAGAAAATACAAGTGTTTCTAATATATTTATGTTCATATATAAATCAGAAAAATACGAAATTAATTGGAATTGATAGAAAACCAAAATAATACAGAATTTAGGAAAAAGGGCAGGAAGGCTAAAAAACAAATTCCTGTCCCTAAGTACCAATGATAATTATAGGTTGTGACTGTTGGTAAATGATAAAGTAAATAAATACATATTTATATATTTTCAGCTTACAAACAATACCTGTGTCCATAAGTATTTCCATGATTGTCTCCCTTTTTCTGACTATATAATATTAAAGTAAATCATTTCTTAGATGGACTACATACAGAAGAAATAGGGATATTCATTATCAGACAGATAAACAACGAACTACATTAGAGTATTAGAAACTATGTCTAATAACGAAGTTAAAAGCTCTGTGATTATCTCCCTGGATGAGTCTAATTACCATGCACTGCAGGACCAAACAAGATGTCAAATTGTGGAACAAACTTTGTATGATGAAGATTGGAGTTGTAAATCAGATCTAGAGGCACAAATGATAACACATACAGGGATTCAACCTTTTAAATTTGCTGGAGATATCACAGCAGATAGTGATTCAATAAATGCCCAGCTGCACGGAAAAGTGAGAACACAAACATCGGATAGACCATTTATATGTGGTGTGTGTAATAAAACCTTTAGTCGGCAACCTTATTTATTACAACACATAAAAATACACACCGCTGATAAACCTTATAAATGTGATATATGTTGTAAAGGGTTTATTCATAAAGCAAACTTAATTAAACACATAGAAACACATAATGGAAAAAATAAACCTTTTAAATGTGATGTATGTGGTAAAGGATATAGTTTGAGTGATGGTTTAAAGTTTCACATCAAGAGAACACATACTGGAAAGAAACCTCATGAATGTGATGTATGTGGTAAAGATTTTCGAGGTAGAGACAACCTAACTGCACACATGAGGATACATACTGGTGATAAACCTTATAAATGTGATGCATGTTTTAAAGTTTTTAATCACAAAGGAAACTTTGATAAACACATACAAATACATACTGGCGATAAACCTTATAAATGTGATGTTTGCGGTAATGGATTCAGTCAAAGAAGCAGCTTAACTAGACACATGGGAAAACATACTGGTGATAAACCTTATGAATGTGATATTTGCTGTAAAGGGTTCAATCAAAGTGGCACTTTAACTTCACATATGAGAACACATACTGGTGATAAACCTTATGAATGTGATATTTGCTATAAAGTGTTCAATCAAAGAAGCATCTTAACTACACACATGAGAACACATACTGGTGATAAACCTTACGAATGTGATATTTGCTGTCAAGTGTTCAATCAAAGGACCAGCTTAACTACACACATGAGAAAACATACTGGTGATAAACCTTATAAATGTGATATTTGCTGTAAAGTGTTCAATCAAAGAAGCATCTTAACTACGCACATGAGAAAACATACTGATGGTTAACCTTATAAATGTAAAGTCTGTGGACATACATTCATGGCTGACCATAATTTACAGAACAACATGACAACACACACTGGACTGAATGGACAGTAAATATAAAAAAGGAGATGTGGTTTGATTGCAAATGAGACAACTATCTATCAAAGTGGATATAATCAATTATATGCAACCGTGCAGCCTTCAACACTGAGAAAAACACATACTGTATAGACGGCCAATAAAGGCCATGACATAACAAACTACAGTCGAACTGGGTACATTAATACTCTTGTTTTTTGTGGTAAGGGTGAGCAGCTTTGACATCCAGTAGCCCTCAATTTTCATATATACGTATATATATTTCAAAATACGTGTGTATTTAAAAATACTAACGTTTTATATATTTTTAACAAAAATAATACCTATGTTCATAATGTATTACGCTATATCATGGAGTTTAGATATATTTGACAATTACCAGCTGCATTTACCATGTTTACTACCGTAGTTATAACTATTTTTTAATCACATCTTTGGTGAATAATAACATCTTTTTTTAGCAGTTTCAGATTCGTACATTTATTATGAAGTTTGAACGATTCAAGATGCTCATCCGTACCACTCAGTACATAGAAAGTGATCCCCAGAAAGTTAACCGTTTTTTTTTTATTTCCATTTCCTGAAATTGACTATAGTAAGTTCATAAACACAATCAATAAAATTTTGATGACTTATTTCCAATGATTTAATGTTTTTCAACATTATGTGTACTGCCTTGTGCATGTTAGTCAAGGGTTTGCATAAAATAAATATTATTTTTTTGTATTGGTTATAATTCATTTAAACAACTAGATTGCATATTCATCATGTTCATAATATTGAATTGATCATACTTTTTACTTGGAATCACAATATGGACAGGTGGAAATGAATGAACCAACATGAGCTTGTAGTGTATTTAAATTGAATCCACACGAGTTGTGGTGTATTTTAAATGTAATCCACACGAGTTGTGGGGTAGTGTAAATGTAATTCACACAAGTTGTGGGATAATGTAAATGTAATCCACACGAGTTGTGGTGTATTTTAAATGTAATCCACACGAATTGTGGGCGAAGTGTAAATTTAATCCACAGAAGTTGTAATGTATATTAATTTTAATACACACGAGTTGAAGTGCATTTTAAATCTAGTTCACTATTTTCACATAAGTTGTATTTTAGAATTTAATCCCCTTAAGTTGTAGTGTAATTTTAGATTTAATCCCCTGAAGTTGTCATGTGTTCTAAAAGTAATCAACATGAGTTGTAGTGTATTTTTGAATATATTCCCTTGAGTTATAGAGTATTTTAAATCTGGTTCACATGAGTTTACGTGTATTTTAAATCTAATTCACCATGTTCACATATACGTTGTAGTGTATTTTACTCTAATGTTCATGAGTTGTAGTGCATCTTTAATTTAATAAACATGAGTTGTAGTGAAATTTTAATTTAATAAGCATGAATAGGAGTGCATTTTAAAATTGATTCCCTTAAGTTGTAGTGTCCTCGTCTTGCCAACTTGTTCAATTATTCATATGACTTCATACAGGAACTTCTTAGGAAAAAGGACAGAAGTTAGCAGCATACTTTAACTTTATTTCCTGCTATTTAGATGATGTACGTCTCTCACAAAATAAAATTGTTGACAATGTTGAACTCATCTATCCAATCGACTTTAGATAAAGTTTACAACAGATACAATTAAGTCTGCCTTATATCTTGAATACATCTAGAAATTTACAATGATGGTCGGTTGAAAACAAAACGTGCAGCTTCCCAATTGCGAACTTTACATTTCTTGGTAGCAACTTTCAGCAGCGCCTGCATACGGAGTATACATCTCCAAGTTGATCCGATATTTCGGGACTTGTATTTCCTATCATGATTTCATTGATAGAGGGTTGCGCTCACAAGAAAGCTTTTAAACCAAGATTTCCAAGTACTGAAGTTGAAATAGACCCTTCGTAAATTTTACGGAAACCATCTCGAGTTGGTTGACTTTTATAGAATATCTGTTTCACAAATGACAACGGATATGTTCCAATGTCGTTAATACAATCCCATCCCCTTTCTCCCGAATGTCACCTACCGAAGAAGACTTATCACCATATATGTACTAACATGAGCACGACGGGTGTCACATGTGAAGCAGGATCTGTGTAACCTTCTAGAACACCTGAGATCTACCTCGGTTTTTGATGGGTTTCGTGTTGCTCTTTAGTTGTTTGACTGTTTGCATTTCTTTTTTAGCCAATGCATTGTCCATTAATTTTCTACTTATGAGTTTGAATGTCCATTAGTTTTCTACTTATGAGTTTGAATGTCCATTAATTTTCTACCCTTGAGTTTGAATGTCCATTAGTTTTCTACTTATGAGTTTGAATGTCCATTAGTTTTCTACTTATGAGTTTGAATGTCCATTAGTTTTCTACTTATGAGTTTGAATGTCCATTAATTTTCTACTTATGAGTTTGAATGTCCATTAATTTTCTACTTATGAGTTTGAATGTCCATTAATTTTCTACCCTTGAGTTTGAATGTCCATTAATTTTCTACTTATGAGTTTGAATGTCCATTAATTTTCTACTTATGAGTTTGAATGTCCATTAGTTTTCTACTTATGAGTTTGAATGTCCATTAGTTTTCTACTTATGAGTTTGAATGTCCATTAATTTTCTACCCTTGAGTTTGAATGTCCATTAATTTTCTACCAATGAGTTTGAATGTCCATTAGTTTTCTACTTATGAGTTGGATGTCCATTAGTTTTCTACTTATGAGTTTGAATGTCCATTAATTTTCTACTTATGAGTTTGAATGTCCATTAATTTTCTACCCTTGAGTTTGAATGTCCATTAATTTTCTACTTATGAGTTTGAATGTCCATTAATTTTCTACCCTTGAGTTTGAATGTCCATTAATTTTCTACTTATGAGTTTGAATGTCCATTAATTTTCTACTTATGAGTTTGAATGTCCATTAATTTTCTACTTATGAGTTTGAATGTCCATTAATTTTCTACTTATGAGTTTGAATGTCCATTAATTTTCTACCCTTGAGTTTGAATATCCATTAATTTTCTACTTATGAGTTTGAATGTCCATTAATTTTCTACCCTTGAGTTTGAATGTCCATTAATTTTCTACTTATGAGTTTGAATGTCCATTAATTTTCTACCCTTGAGTTTGAATGTCCATTAATTTTCTACTTATGAGTTTGAATGTCCATTAATTTTCTGCTTATGAGTTTGAATGTCCATTAATTTTCTACTTATGAGTTTGAATGTCCATTAATTTTCTACCCTTGAGTTTGAATATCCATTAATTTTCTACTTATGAGTTTGAATGTCCATTAATTTTCTACCCTTGAGTTTGAATGTCCATTAATTTTCTACTAATGAGTTTGAATGTCCATTAATTTTCTACTTATGCGTTTGAATGTCCATTAATTTTCTACTTATGAGTTTGAATGTCCATTAATTTTCTACCCTTGAGTTTGAATGTCCATTAATTTTCTACTTATGAGTTTGAATGTCCATTAATTTTCTACCCTTGAGTTTGAATGTCCATTAATTTTCTACTTATGAGTTTGAATGTCCATTAATTTTCTACTTATGAGTTTGAATGTCCATTAATTTTCTACCCTTGAGTTTGAATGTCCATTAATTTTCTACTTATGAGTTTGAATGTCCATTAATTTTCTACCCTTGAGTTTGAATGTCCATTAATTTTCTACTTATGAGTTTGAATGTCCATTAATTTTCTACTTATGGGTTTGAATGTCCATTAATTTTCTACCCTTGAGTTTGAATGTCCATTAATTTTCTACTTATGAGTTTGAATGTCCATTAATTTTCTACCCTTGAGTTTGAATGTCCATTAATTTTCTTCCCTTGAGTTTGAATGTCCATTATTTTCTACCCTTGAGATTGAATGTCCATTAATTTTCTACTTATGAGTTTGAATGTTCATTAATTTTCTACTTATGAGTTTGAATGTCCATTAATTTTCTACTTATGAGTTTGAATGTCCATTAATTTTCTACCCTTGAGTTTGAATGTCCATTAATTTTCTACTTATGAGTTTGAATGTCCATTAATTTTCTACTTATGAGTTTGAATGTCCATTAATTTTCTACCCTTGAGTTTGAATGTCCATTAATTTTCTACTTATGAGTTTGAATGTCCATTAATTTTCTACCCTTGAGTTTGAATGTCCATTAATTTTCTACTTATGAGTTTGAATGTCCATTAATTTTCTACTTATGGGTTTGAATGTCCATTAATTTTCTACCCTTGAGTTTGAATGTCCATTAATTTTCTACTTATGAGTTTGAATGTCCATTAATTTTCTACCCTTGAGTTTGAATGTCCATTAATTTTCTTCCCTTGAGTTTGAATGTCCATTATTTTCTACCCTTGAGATTGAATGTCCATTAATTTTCTACTTATGAGTTTGAATGTCCATTAATTTTCTACTTATGAGTTTGAATGTCCATTAATTTTCTACTAATGAGTTTGAATGTCCATTAATTTTCTACTTATGAGTTTGAATGTCCATTAATTTTCTACTTATGAGTTTGATTGTCCATTTGGTATCATTCGCTTTTCTTTTTTTTCACATGAGTTGTACCTCTAGTGTATTTTTTAATTCAAACCCCTTGAGTTGAAATAGTCCCTTCACATGAGTTGTAATGTATTTTAAATTTGAATCAAAATGAGTTGTACTGTATTTTGAATCTGATTAACATGAGTTGTACGTGAAGTGTATATTCAAATTTGATACCCCTGAGTTGTTTTTAATTCTTAGTGTAAACATATTTTATCATAGAAATCGTCTCCTTTTAATTAAAAAAAAACCAAAAAAAACCAGAAGATATGTTTAAATGCTGTCAATGAATACTATAATATAACTATTATAAGTAGTTACATTTGTATGTATATAAATAGCCAAAAAAAAGCGGGGTTTTATTGGGTGGGTGGTAAAGGTATTTAAATAAATCAGATTGTAATCAAAGAAAGGTACAATTTTTCTTTATTAGGGAGGGGTGAATAAATATAATTATTAGACTTTGATGGGTGTATATATCAATTTTTGAACAACTTTGATTTTAAATTTATTTGCTTTTAGTTTATTGGAGCCAAAAAGCAAAACATTGGTTAGAATTCTGATAGGGATTTCTAGGTTATGTGTGTGCCTCTGATGAGGTACATTGAATCTTTTGCAATTTGATAAATATAAATTCTACCTCTGTATCGAGTTTGATATTTATCCCCTCGAGACAGTTAGATTCGCTGGGCGTTTTAAATACTTAAAATCAAATATCGAAAGTGTATAAATATCGTAATGCATTAAATTTGGAAATGGAATCTGTTTCGATCTATAATGATTTTAGACGATATGCAGACAATCAAAAAAATCTTTTTTTTTCGAATGATCTTCAAAAAGATGTGTGTTTTCTTAGTGACGTCATTAGGCATAGTCACCTTTTTCATGACGTCACAATAGGAATTTCAAAGAAAAGCAAGAAAACTTGACGTTATAATCGAATTTTTACCAATGACGTACTGAGATCAAACGAACCACACGTTGATTAAAAAAATATAACCAACGAGTCAGGAAAAGGATAAATCGGGTAAGAATTAGAAAAATAGTGCTTCATTGTTTCTGTGTCTTAAACAAACATACTTTGGGGAATGTATCAAGTTTCTGTCATAGAGGTGTTTGTTGAGTCCGGTATAGTTCATTCTTATTCTTGCATTCCATATTTGACTAATCAGGTGGGAACCAGAAAAATGAACTACAGACCTGAATTTCACGTTTACTTTTGAAATAATTTTTGAAGGCGAGATGGGATGGACTATTGAAAACATTAGCATTACGAGAATTATATGCATGTAATTACGGAAACGTTCAGGTAAAATATTATTAAGATAAATTGGAGTTATATTAATTGTGCAAATATGCAAGTCTGTTGTCCTCCCGTCATTCCTTTATGTTAAATTTTCCATCCTGTTTTCCTCATAAAGTAAATTGATTGATGTTAACTCTGTTAGTCAAAATCCTTGCTGCCTCTATTTGGACGCTTTTTATTTTACAGTGTCCGTTCCATTACATGAAAACGCTTTGATGATTTTTTTTTCAAATTTACATATGTTGTTTCCTGTGACTAAATTAAGGTCGAGTTCAATTTTCACGATTCTAGCTTCTCTTTTTGTTGAGTTATCGCCCTTTTTAATATTCAAAAGTGGTATTTATAATGTGATTGAGTTATTTCTCTTTGTACAGAAATTAAAAAACTTATCTTTAAATGATCCATTCGTTTGATGTGTTTGAACTTTTGATTTTACCATTAGCTTAGGGACTTTCCCTTTTAAATTTCCCTCGGAAATCGGTATTTTTGTGATTTTACTTTCTTCCATATACCACATATAAACGAAAATTAAACCTTGCTCGGCTGAACCATGAAATGAGGTCGTGTGGTCATATTAAAACTGTCTGATTGGCATGTGGATCTTGCAAGGTACGCACATACGAAATATAGTTATCCTATTACTCATGATAAAAAGGAATTGACGTTACAAATTTTTATTTAAAGTAGTCACAGAACTTGAAAATGAGGTCAAGGACAATACACAAAGTATGAAGCATCCAGGCCTTCCGCCTTCTAAATGTAAAGCTTTTAAGAAGATAGTTAACACCGCCACCGTCGCCGCCGCCTGATCACTACCATATGTCGAGCTTTCTGCGACAAAACAAACAAACCGAGAAACGATCAACACTTATGATCCACACCAACAAACAACAACCACTGACCAACAAGTTCTTGACATACGGTAGGTGTAAACAAATACAGCGGGTTAACACCTTTTCTAAGGCGCCAACCGTCACAGTCGCTAATTTATTTTGAGGAAGCTGGTGAACCTCGAGAGTAAAGCATACCTTTGAATGATATCAAGCATTATCTTATCTCCTATACATTTCTAGGAATATGATTGGTTAAAAACAACCGCGTGGAGACCGTGCAAACCCCATATGAGGTAAGTAGGCGGGGCTTATTTCAATACACGGTTAGAAGTGGTGTAACGTCCCTTTATAAAAAGAACACGGTGTTGAGGAAACAATCCTTGTCAATTAAGATTGGAATAGATGAAACTTGCCACAAGCAGTCTTCACATGTGTTTTTTTTTATATGTATTTCCATTTGTATCCATCTGATGAGTTAAGCCTTTTTCAACTGATCTTTATACTTCGTTCTTATATTGTACTAGTACACCACTGTCCCAGGTTAGGGGGAGGGTTTGGATCCCGCTAACATGTTTACCACCTTAACATTCTGTATGTATGTGCCTGTCCCAAGTCAGGAGCCTGTAATTCAGTGGTTGTCGTTTGATGCTGTGTTACTTATTTGTTTTTTGTTCATTTTTTGTACATTGTTTGGGCCACTAGTTTTCTCGTTTGAATAGTTTTACATTTGTGATTTCGGGGCATTTTATTGCTGAATATGCGGTATGGACTTTGCTCATTGTTGAAGACCGTACGGTGACCTATAGCTGTTAATTTCTGTGACATTTGGTCTCTTGTGGAGAGTTGTCTCACTGGCATTCATACCACATTTTCTTTTTTATATTCAACTCAGAACTTCATTCAAGACAGGCTAATGAAAAACTTTACTTGATAATGAACAAAATTTTGCAAACTAATTCCTAAAATTTTATTGTACACTTGGTCTTCCTCATTGTAATGGTCACACAAGCTTTTCGGTGGTTTAACTAAGAATTTTCTACCTCAGGAATATATTACCTCAGCTGTATTTAGCAAAACTTTTAGGAAATTTTGGTCCTGAATATGCTCTTCAACTTCGTACTTTATTTGACCTTTTTAACTTTTTTTATAATTCGAGCGTCACTGATGAGTCTTTTGTGGACGAAACATGCGTCTGGCGCAAATACAAAATTTTAAACCTGGTATCTATAATGAGTTTATTTATATCCTATGTCATTGCATATCTCAATTTGTTCATATAATGCAACATAATTCATGCAAGAATCAAAATTTAATTGTATAATAATATAAAACACATAATAATTACGATGTTTCATTTTCAACATGATAAATATACAATGATGTACAGATTGTTTCCTGCTTCCAAAAAAAAACAACGAAGAGATAACTGCAGTCTCAGTTTTATATAACACAAATATAGACTGTAGTGTCCCGATTACTTAGGTTAAGAATGTTAAAAATTTAAATAATAAACAATACTGATAATTCACTACATATATTTTTATGGTACATTTTCCATGCAAGCTTATATGAAATTCGTACTTCGTTGAACACTTAAATATGTTAAATTCATGGTAAAAGTATATAAAAAAATCTTTAACGATTGGAAACCAAGAAATAATAATGAATTCACACTTTTCATTTCCATTTAGCCACAAACAGTAAAAAATGACATTCTAATGCTCTAATGCAATTCCTTTGTAACGATAATTTTCATTGGACGCTGACATATATTTCAAAGGGTAATATTCCGCGTTCTACCAGTCGGTCACCGAGAAAGCCCCAATTTGAATTCTGATTTTTTTATCGTATGTAATTTCTCAAAAAAATGAACAAGAAAGTCACATTTTATGCCTTCATTTTGTCAATATGGAAAACTTTTAAAATACACTACAAGTACAACTCATGTAAATAGATTTTAAATTACACTACAAGTATAACTCATGTAAATTAAATTCTAAAATACACTACAAGTACAACTCATGTAAATAGATTTTAAAGTACACTACAAGTATAACTCATGTAAATTAAATTCTAAAATACACTAAAAGTACAACTCATGTAAATATATTTTAAAATACACTACAAGTTCAACTCATGTATTTAAGATTTACAACTCAACTCAGATGATTAAAATTTAAATATACATAGAGTCATGAGAATTAGATTTAAACTACACTACATTTCAACTCTTGGAAATTAGATTTAAAATACACCGCAACTCGGTTGATTAAAATTTAAAATATAGATCACCTCATGTGAATTATATTTACAATACACAGCATGTTAATTAAACTTGAAAAAACTCTACAAGTGAATTAGATTTAAAATACACTACAACTCATATGAATTAGATTAACAATATGCAGCATGTTAATTAAACTTGAAAAAAAATCTGCATGTTATGCGATGAATTAGATTTGAAAACACTACAACTCAAAGGAATAAATTTTGAAATAAACAACAAATCATGTGAATAAGATTTTAAAATACAACTCATTGGGAATACATTTTAAAATACACTATAACTCATGTGGACTACTTGAAATACATTAAAACTCATGGAGATTAAATTCAAAAATACACTAATAGTTGAGGGGAGTAAATTTTAAAATACACCTACTACAACTACAAGTTATGTGGATTAAATCTTAAAATACTACACAACACAAGAGATAAAATTATAAAATACACCACAACTCAGGCAAATTAGATTTAAAACATACTCAGCTCATGTTGAATTTATCTAAAATACACTATAACTCGTGCATGTCGTGTGAATAAGTTTTAAAATACCCAACAAGTTAACTGATTACATCTGAATACAATCATTACCACACGTCCATTGAATGAGTCCAAATGTCAAAATCAAAGTTCTTGTAAGCACAGAAGGGTAAAGATTGCGTTAATTTTATCAGTGGGAAGTAAATTTAAATATTGCATTGTCAATGAAGCTAGTTGATTCAACTCCTATCTGGACAATGGGAGATAACTCCAATTTTTAAAGATGACTTTAACAATGATATTATTTATATTTTTAGAACAGATATTAGATTCCTCCACCTTGCAAAAGTTATGTAATTTTCTTGACATGTGGAACATTGTTTTGTGACTTGAATATCTGAGCATATATTAAATTAATAAATTTCCTGTTCATGGATAGGATGTATATAATGTTATGATCAATGCACTTTATTTTGTGTATCAAAAAGGTAGTGATAAGCCTTGGAGGATTTAGATATCAAGTCAGTAACATAGGGTTTTGATTGTATTTCATGCAATCTTTACCCAAAAAATAAATATAATTAATTCAATAATATAAATATGCAAACTTGTAGTTTAAATGAATTATAACCTCAACACAAGATTAATATTTACTTCATGCAAAACTTTGATAAACATACACTTGATAATAAACACTTGATAACGGACTATATGGTGTGGTTTTTTTCAATGTTGAAGGCCGTACAGTTGGATGGTTTGATTGCTTATATCCATTACATTTAAAGTTTTTTGGCAATAATATCACATATTAATTAATAATTATCTGTCAATTCAGTCAACATGGTCGAGTATGTGCTGTCATGTTATTCTGAAACTGTTGGTCCAGGAATGTTAGTCCACAAAGTCACTAGTATGTAATTTATGTGTTTATCAAAGCTTGTTTTGTATTTAAACACTTTACAACATATATCACAATTATAAGAGTTATCGCCTGTATGTAATTTTATGTGATTATCAAAGCTTACTTTGTGTTTAAACATTTTACAACATACATTACATTTATACGGTGTCTCACCTGTATGTTTTCTCATGTGTGTAGTCAAGTGGGTACTAGTATTACACCCTTTGCCACATACATCACATTTATAAGGTCTATCACCAGTATGTGTTATCATGTGTATTTTTACGTCGCCTCTTACATTGAATCCTTTACCACAAACATCACATTTATATGGTTTATCATCCGTATGTATTCGCATGTGTTTAGTTAAGTTCCCTTTATGACTAAACCCTCTAAAACATAAATGACATTTGTAAGGTTTATCACCAGTATGGTTCCTCATGTGTATCATAAAATGGCCTTTCTGATTGAACCCCTTACAGCAAACATCACATTCATAGAGATTGTCACCTGTGTGTGTTCTCATGTGTACAGTTAACTTGCCCTTATCAATATAGCTTTTGCAACATACATCACATTTATAAGGTTTGTCACCAGTATGTGTTCTCATGTGGTTAGTAATGGTGCCTTTTTGTCTGAACTTTTTACAGCAAACATCACATTTATGAGGTTTATCACTAGTTACTGGCCCAGTATGTAATTTCATGTGTTTATTTAAGCTTCCTCTTTGACTAAAAACTTTGTAACAAACATCACATTTATAAGGTTTTTCACCAGTATGTGTTCTCATGTGTGCAGTTAGGGTGCTTGGATCTATACACTTTCTACCACATACATCACATTCAGTAGGTTTCTTTCCAATGTGTGTTTTCTTTATGTGTAACTGTAATAAACCATTCAAATTATATTCTAAACCACAGTCATTACATTTAAATTGTTTACTATTTCCTTTATGTGATTCCATGTGTTTAGTAAAATGCCCTTCACGATTAAACTTTCTACAACATAAATCACATTTATAAGGTTTGTCACCTGTATGTGTTCTCATGTGTACAGTTAAAGTGCCTTTATTATTAAACCTTTTGCAACAGACATCGCATTTGTAAGGTTTTTCACCAGTATGTGTTCTCATGTGGATAGTTAAGATGCTTCTTCTATAGAACCCTTTACAGCAAATATCACATTTCAAAGGTTTATCACCAGTATGTATTTGTATGTGTTGAGCCAAGTTTCCTTTGGCTTTAAACCTTTTACAACATACAACACATTTATAAGGTTTATCACCAGTATGTGTTCTCATGTGAGTCTGTAAACGTTTTTCCATGGTATGTGTTTTCATATGGGTTTTTAAGATGCCTTTTGTACTGAACTCTTTACCACATATTTCACATTTATAAGGTGTGTCAGCACTGTGTTCTCTCATATGTATAAGTAAATAAGGTTCTCGAAAGAAGGTTTTATCACATACACCACATACAAATGGTTTATCAGATGTTTGTGTTCTCGTTTGTCCTTGCAATTCAGAATTCTCTGAATCACTTTCTGCTTTGGTATCTCCATCAAATTCAAAAGGTTTAATCCCTGTATGTATTCTCAATTTTGAATTACAACTCCATTCTTCATCATACACAGTTTGTTCCTCAATTTTACATCTTGTTTGATCCTGTGGTGCATGGCAATGAGTCAGATCAAGGGAGATAATTGTATCAGAAGTTTTAACTTCGTTATTAGACATAGCTTATAATGTAGTTCTTTGTCTGTCTGTTTGTCTGTCTGGTAATGAATATCTCTATTTCTTCTGTACGTTGTTCATCTTAGAAATGATTTACTTTAATGGTATATTCTCAATCGGTAATCCTCAGGTGAATCCGCTACTATCTACTAGATGAAGGTACGGAATCGGCCGAGTTGTGACGAATGGGTATACAGTCAGAAAAGGAGAGACAACCATGGAAATACTTATTGACATTGGTGTTCTTGTAGGCTGAAAATATATAATTATGTATTGATTTACTTTATTATTTCACCCATGTCACAACCCATAATTATCATAGGTTCTTGGGGGAAGGATAATTTTGTTTTTTAATTCCTCTGCCTTCTTTTTTTTTTACAAAATCCATTTTTTTATGGTTTTTCTATCAATTTCAATTATGTTCATGTTGTTCTGTGTTATATGAACATAAAGATTCTAGAAATACTTGTATATTTTACTATCACTTCCAAGTTTACTATAACCCAGAGAGGTCACTGATATATTATATAGAGACTGAAGAAAAACAAAAAATAACAGAATTGGAAAAAGGGGGATGGCTAACAATAAATATCCTATCCCAAGTACATGTACCTATATACATGTACAATAAATATCAACCCATGTTACTGGGATAGCACTTTACTTACAGTTTTCTCTATTTTCCGATTGATTGTTTTTGCTTAATTACAACAAGTGCCCTATTTTCAGGATAAAAAAATTGATGTAATGAGTATTAAACATGTATGTATCTGAATAGGAGTCTGACTACTTTTTTTTAATATAACCAAATACAATGTAGTTCAAATATTTTATTGGTTTTTAATACAGTATTACAAATTTAGATTGATTAACAGATTAAATCTTCTGATCAGTATATATAAAGAACATGAAGAAATTACCAACTGAAATTTGTTTTTTTTTAAAATAGGTACAAATACATGCAAAGATGTTTATATTTTAGTGTCAAGAATTTTGGTTTCATTATATGGGATATATCTTCATAACAAAATACTCACATTACCATTTCTTGTGAATGTATTTTTTTTCTTTCAAAACTGTCTTTTATCTGAATTTCTTCATAAAAAAACCCATTTTTTCAATATTAGACAAGTTTTTTTTTAACTGAATATTGTATTTTTTTCCCCTCTTATTTTTAAACGGAACCGATAATTTGTTTTATAAACTCGGTCTCCTTAACCCCTTTTTTCCGCATAGTCTAATAATAAGATATATATATATAATAATCAATAAAATGCTATTGTGTTTTTAGTAAATTAATGAATGATTTTTTTTCTTGTTTAAATTGCCATGGATATAAAGGCTATGAATGGGTCACCATTTATGAGGATATAAATTGGGTTTACAGAGAGAATAATGTGGGGGAAAAGTCAGATTAGGAACAGGACCAAAAACTTAACAAAATAAAAAGATTATGAAATATAAAGAATAGATTGATTGGTTGTTGTTGCTTTATGTCCAGTGGCAAGTATTTCATGCATGTTTAGGACAAATTAATATTAGAGAACAACGAAAAAAGAATAGAGTCAGAGACATATATACACGTATATATGTTTCTGATAGAGTGAAATGGTGAAAAAATAAGACAGAAATATATAAACGATGATCTGATGAGCCTGCGCCCACCCTCCCCTCTAACACACACACCAACACCATTATCACCCCCACTCGTATATATACATCTTAAAACAAATATCTAATTTTGGTTTAATGGTGCCCGAGTTATCATAAATTAAAAAACGGTCAGATTGACTTATTTTTCGGTCCGATTTAACTCGGGCCGAGTTGTCCCATACACCTTATCGCTATTTAGTCCAATCCGGAAAAAACAGTCATTTAGACAACTTCCTGTTTGGGTCAACAGGCCGCAAACAAAGGTCATCAGTAACGAGCTGAGGGAGGGAAAAATTTAGAAAGCGATCAATAGGAAACTTTGATAGATTATGATCCACTTTTTCCAAACTCAAATTAAAGTCAAAAAAATATTGTGTTTGTAGTATTTACGATGTTTTAAACAGGTCTCATTAAAAAGTATCATGCATGGTGCATACACCTTTTCGCTATTTGTCCGCCATTACTGGACATCACAAAAGTTCCCGTAAAATTTTGACGTCATAATAGAAAATGTCTGACGCCACAATGGAAAAGTGATTGTTGTATGACGTCAAAAGTTCGAGCGGGACAGATTCTCGGGTCAAGCGGGAATAGCGATAAGGTGTATTGTTTAAACAGGGTCCCAGATAGCGTCAACTGGATGAAAAAGTTGTGTAATTTTAGAACTTATCCGGAATGGAATAAATAGCGATTAGGTGTATTGTCGTCTATAGGAGATTTTACGGAATTCCCTTTTCCGCGCTTGCGCAATGAACTGGCCGTCAAAATCCGCCATACTTGTTATTGTTGTTGTCATGGGCGGGAAAAGATAAATAATGGAAAGAGAAAAAAAGTTGTCTCCGTATGCGTACGGGTTACCGGCTGAGGCAAGAATAAGATATAGTGAAAAGTTAACTTTCAACAAAGGAACCGAAACCCTCCCTGATCCATACACAGTTCCCAATTCTGAATGGGTGAACGACCCGAGTATGTGGCCTGAACTTGACTTCGGTCAAGTTTATCTGTACCTAATTGAAACTCCGGCCATGTTTAGCAAAAGTTCTATGAAAGCATATAAAAGCTTAGAAGCATATAGGTAGAGTCACTTATTTTTTTTCCGCGTTTCAACATTGAATGAGAGAACGACCATTTAATTTGAAAAGGGTATCTGGGCACCAGTTTAACAAAATGGGGAAGATCCTCATAAACGAGTGGCACTCGCATTTATGGGTATTAAAGTAAACCCCCTAACCAGAATCAATATTCAGTGGTAGAAATATAAACTTTGAATTTTATGGCATGTTCTGCCAAATGACAATGTTTTGCCCTAAGTAAAGACACCATAACAGAATCACATCATATGCTTGGGTCCCCTTTTTTCAACAACTATCCAGACTTACAAATGTAGTTTATTTGGCACCATCAGTGCATTTAAATCAAAACTAGCTACTTAAATAATAATCTTTAATTTTATCCAATAAAACATGAATATTCTAACATTTTATATACATGAAAAAGAATTTTTGAGCATAAAATAAGTACATGTATCCCCTTCCACATTAGATGGTTGTTCTCAGGCTGTTTTTTTTCTTACGATTTAAAATTATTAATTTTCAGTGTTGTATAAATTTACTCATTTTGTAAGCCCTATTTTTTGGCCTTCTATAGCTCAAATTGTATGATTCTGCTCATTGTAGCTATAGACAGTTGTACTTTCACATAGATATAGAGTTTTTCACAACTTTTGGTGAATGTCTGTTTAGTAAGCTTTCAATCCACATCTCCTTATCTATTTACTGTTAAGTGATGCTATTGGTACAGTGAACAGCAAGATGATGTCTCTTTTACTGTAACTGTGTAGAAATTCAAAATATAGTCCCATTAAGAGGATATGAATGATCATTAATCATCAATGCTTTTGAGCGCAGAAGGGTGGGGACAAGGGCGGCTGCCCTTCTATTTAGGGCAGGCGGGAACACTGATAATTGTTTGCACACCTTTTCACCTTATGCAGACTTTGACTTGTGTTCAACCTTCCAACTTAACTTTGTCCTAGCTTATTTTTTTAGTCTATAAATGTAGTTGATTTAAGATGAGGGATTATCATACCTGCTTCAACAAAAGATGAGTTAAAATGTCAAGTTTTTAATCAATTTGTCATATTATCATCGACTCAGACTCATATAATTTAGAAAATCATATTACATGTATTATTGTTTTGATTAACTAGCATAGACATTTCTGTCATTTTCATTGTTGAGTTTATGACCTTGGGGATGACCAGAACTCTTTACACACTAATATTTATCAATTCTGAGGGAGGATAACCTTAGGAATCATGTGTGCATAACATGGTATGTATATTATTATCCTATTTAGATTAGGGTGGGGATTGTTATCAACAAACAGACTAAATTAATGGCCTGAAGTTGGACATTTCTCATGGCATGCATGTGTACAAGCCATTTTCTTGAAAGTTAAGCAAGTCAGATGCAGTCTTGAATTTCAAAAAGTTTGGATTGCTGTTCCTGGTATGTGGGTTCGATTCCCACCCAAGGCTTACATTTACTATGTTACTTGTACCCATACTATATATTAATGCATGAAATTGTTCAGTTTTTTACATGTTAAAATTGTTAAAAATTTCTTCAAATTTAGTGTTTGACATCGTTTGTTATCTTTAAAAATCTGAATGTCATTTATTATTTACAAGAAAATATTTAAATATTTTTATACATGCATTTGATAAGATAATTAATGACATCATTTACATGATTTTTTTCCTATTCAGTATTTCAGTCAAATTAACTTTATCATAAATATGGGTACACATAACATTTTTGCTGGTGCAAATGGAGGAAACTGCCTTGTGCCTCCACCAGGAATATCAATCCAAAGTTGTGAAAAATATTTCTAGTAAATTAAATATATATAAATATATATATATATTATAAAGAAAATTATTTATGCATATTCAAAGTACATTTGAAAAAAAAAAAATTAAATTTAAGCTTACAAAACTATATTTTTGTCTGACTTTTCTACTGTTATTTTATATTTTCAAACTATTACTCAGAAGTATGTTTTCTTATTGTACTTATTCAGGTATGTTGAAAGTGGTCATGTAGACCAGATAAAGATTTATGACGTCAACGGAAGTCCTTTCTGTTTTTTGAAAGCTGATGTAATAGGGTCGATGAAAATCCGGGACAAACCACACCAACCTTGAGTCTGCCTAGCTAAAGATACAGCAGACATTTATTGTGCACATTGTACATGTCTAGCAGGGTATGGTTAATTTGGGTATAAATTTTATTCTAATGCAATTATTTTGTATCAATGGTTCTGATTGGATGACAATGAGTGTAAAATTCTCTATTTCCCTGTCTGTAACTAAGGAAACAGACATTTGGATACCGGAATGTATTGACATGTGATTTCTTCAATAATAAGCCAAAAAAACTAACATTTTGCATTTAGAATAAAATTGAGAATGGAAATGGGGAATGTGTCAAAGAGACAACAACCCGACCATAGAACAGACAACAGCAGAAGGTCACCAACAGGTCTTCAATGCAGCGAGAAATTCCCGCATTCTTTTTATCAAGTTTTATTACATT